TACTTAAATAGGCAACCAAAAGTTGCATGTGTAACTAGCTGTACTCTCATCTCTGTAAAAATAGTTGTAATAGCTAATCCAATATAAAGTCAATAAAGTATCGCTACAAGTATGGCCTTAGCAAAAAAAAAAAATTTTTGAGCATAATACTGTTTTTAACTTTAGCAGTAATATTTAATATTTTTAATTTCCATTATTTGTTCAATGAAAATATTAAATTATTTTTAAAGCATTAAAGATTTATTTATTTATTACATAGTATAAATATTTAAAAGATTCTTAAATATCAGTTTCGTTATTTCAGTATTTGTTCTGTAAATCTGTACTGTTTATAAATCATATGATTCATACAGTTTCTGACTCTACACTGTCCAACTTTGCACTGTCTGACTTTGCACTGTCCCTAAGTACTGTCTATAAACTTTTCACTCTGTATTTTTACACAAACTTTTTATGCTTATATAATATTAGACAAAATTCTTTAAATTTGATTAGATTAGAATTAAAGTCTACATTAAGGTAGTTATAATCAGTATTGGCAGCAATAAATAATAGAACAATAAAATAAATCAATAAAATTTAAAATAAAATAAAATTTTTGTTCATAAAACATAAAATTGTCAACAAGATTATAATTAGATATTAAATAAATAAAATAATAAAATTAAAATTAAATATAATTTTTTTTAATAAAACAAAAAATTAATAATACTGATTATAATAATAAAATTGTCAAAAAAGTTTTTTGTTAAGATGTAGAAAGTGGTTACTTATGCAAATTTTGAGTTATAAGCGATTTTTGTCAAAACAAAACCTTTGTTTTGAATTTTTCTAATCATATAACATTATATTAAATTAAGTTTAATGACCTTCCAATTTCAATAAACAACACTAACTTATAACTTAGTACTTAATTAACAAATTAAGCAAATTTGCATTAAGGTTTCAATGAAACAAAATTAAAAAAAATAAAAACATCAATTTTTTTAAAAAAATTTAAATGACTTAGTCTTTATTTCCTATTATAGTTGGTTTTTTGCCTCAAGTTTATTAAATTTATTTTTACATTCTATTATTTTTTCAATTTATAACAAACCATTAAACATCAAATTTTAACAAAGCCATTTTCTAACTTTTCTTTTCTATATTCTTATTCAAAAAAATTAATTTTCAAAAATTGTCTATATACAAAAATTAAAAAAAATTAAATTTCTACTTTTATTAAAAAAAATATAATCAACTCTTTTTCAAAGTTAGTAAACCATCAATCAAATCTTAATTTTTTATAAAAATAAAAAACACTTCATAAGAAAAAAGTTCTTCAAAAAAAAACATTTCATAAAAAAAACATTTTAAAAAAAGAAAAAAAAACATTTAAAAAAAAAATAATACACAAAACATTTTATAAAAAAAAAGCTTTACAAAAAAAATATTTTAAAAAAAAAACTCTTTAAAAAAAACATTTCAAAAAAAAAAAAATACACAAAACACTCCATGAAAAAAAAGCTCTGCAAGAAAAAAAAATTTCAAAAAAAAAACTTTTCAAAAAAGACATTTCAAAAAAAAAAATACACAAAACACTCTAAAAAGTAGGCTCTATAAGAAAAATATTTCAAGAAAAGAAGGTTCTTTAAGAAAAAAACATTTCAAAAAAAATACACAAAACACTCTATATGAAAAGGGTCCACAAGAAAAAAATATTTCAAGAAAAGAAGGTTCTTCAAAAAAAATACATTTCAAAAAGAAAAAAAATACACAAGGCAGAGGGCTTCACAAGAAAATAAACATTTCAAGAGGAGAAAATATACAAGGCACCCAAACGGGAGAAAGACACAAAGTGGAAAATTCTCAAAAAAGAATCACCTACCCAAAGTCATGTTGCGTGGTATTCTTGCTTGGTGTCTTGTTTGGTGTTTTTGCAACTGGTGATGTTTTTATTTATACTGCTGCTGATCGACCTCAACCAATCAAATTATTGTTGATATAACACGACTAGACGCGATGTTAAATCAGCATGACGTGGCGAAAAAAAAAGAAAATACTATTGTACTTGAAAAACTAAGATTTCTTAGATAAAAAAAATGAGTAATGTAAACCATTTATGGTAAGGTCAGTGTTATAAATTCAAATAATTTTTATTGGCGCAAACCAAAAAAAATTGCATAAAAAGAAGATTTATACGCGCTTTATATATACGGAGAGCATTGAAATGCGCGCAAATTTAAATCTATGTGCGTTACGCTTACTGCGTAGGTGTATGTAGATCATTTTTCATACGAATTTTTACATAGTGAATAAAACCATGCTAAATACGTCAAAATATCCTTACTATTAAGGCTTTAAACTACTGCTACATGATCATACATACTATCTGTTAGAGCTTTTTCATGCATCTTATACATTTATACCATAAGAACCAATCTTACGTTAATAAAAATTTTAATGCATTTATTTGGTGTATGTAATTAGACAACATGCGTTTAGAAAATATTAACAGTACTAGATATATATATTTCTATTGTTATTGAATTGTCCTCATTTATTAAAAGATTTGCTTTAAATGGCATTTAAAAGTATAGTCCCTTTAACTCAAGATGACTAGAAAAGTAATTTACAAATTTCATGTTGAAATATTTGGATAATTGCTTAATTTACACTCGAATAAGATTAGAATATTAAAGAAATTATGATTTCACATCACTAATCTCATCCATTTTTGAAACACATTTACATAAATTTTTAAAATATCAAAAAAATTCTTGCACTTGTGCAAGCCAATTTTAAACACCATCTCATTAACTTGACAATTTATTTACTTTTAACAAAGTACCATCTTGATCGCGTATAGTAATATCGTTATCCTATATAAACAGAATATTAACATCATAATTATAAATCAAAGCAAACACATAATTAACATAAAATTTAGGTGAAATACCTCGCCAGTGTTCTTAAATCTAAATTTAAATCTTCTATTTGTAATTTCGGAATCTTTCCTAATGACAGTAGTGGTCTGCAACTGTTGCTGCGTTTTTTCTTCTAATGTAAATGGTTTAATTACTTCTTTTCGTAACTCTTGTTCTTGCAATGATGCTAGGGGCTGACGATTTAATAACTTTGCCGCGTCCTATATATATATATATATATATATATGTGCACATAATATTTTTCTAATTTAGTACCCTAAAATGAAATTCTAACGCGAAAAGATTAATTTATCTACCTCTGGTGTAAACTTCTTGCCTTCATCTACAAGATGAAATTTAGGCTTTCCAACCTTTGGTAACATTTCTGTTAATGGTTCTTGACGATGTGATCGTGCACCCATCATTTTTTCCATATTTATTGAAAAATTTTTTTGAATTGGTACACCCTTTAATATTTTTTATAATGAATTATAACAATTATGAAAATATATGTAAAAAAAATCTTTATAACTGCTCTTCGATTTGTAGTAATAGGCTCAGTGCGATTTATTCATAACCATAAATTTTTGTCTTCAAGACTAATCGGTTGAACATCATAACCATTCCACATGTTCAAATGTTTGGCCAAAATTCCAATAATTTTTCAAATTCTATAAAGATGATTTACCTGCTGAATCATGTCTTTCTCCAATTTTTTTAATCTAAGTATAGCTTCAACACGTTTGATTGAAACTCCATAAAATGTTCCGAGTTCTCTTACGGATTGTCCTGTTTCTATAAACCTTTTCCAAATTTCTTCCTTTGCAAAATCAGATAAAGGAGGTTGAGGCTTATATTGTGGGTTCATTGGGAATGGCTACTATCAATTTGATATCCAAAATAAGAATTAAAACATTGAAATAACGATGAATGATCAATTATTTAATATAAATTCACGTTTCCCTTGAAAAAGATACAACTAGAAAAGATACATACGCAATTAGGTTGAAGATAATTCGTTTGACCTAACAATGGCTTTTCAAATTTTTTTCCTTCACCCGCCAAGAATGCTCTAAAATATGGATGTTTGACTTTACGTTTTAATGAATTCATTACGGTTTGTTTTTTGGCGAAAGATAAAATTTATCAAAATAGTAGATTAGTTGAAAAAATTTGTACCCAGACGTTTTAATATGCACCAATCAGAATCGACATCTTCTTTAATTGGATCTGAGATCTGAGGGGCAAATCCAACGTAACCGATAGGAATGTTAATCGGTCCTTTGGGACCGAATCCTTTCATCCTTAAATCACATGATAGTTATATGGGACCTAATCTTCCCCAGCGTCACCATCAAAAAAAGCTCGAACACATGACAACGATAAAAATTTCCAATTCGTTAAGATTAGGGTTAGCGCATATTATGATTAGATAATAGTGGGGTATATCAGTAAAATCGCTCAAGGAAAGTTTTTTGTTAGTGCACTAAGGGTGGTTTCCTATGTAAATTTTCGAGTTATAGGCGATTTTTAGTAAAACGAACGTTTATTTTTATTTTTCCTGATCGTGCAACGTTACACCTGATCTTGTAATCTCATTGGTTCGCGCCACGAAAATATCACGTGAACGTGATTTTTGATGGTGATACTGGGGGAGTTATGGGACCTAAATCCCAGATCAGTTTTGGACCTAAATCCTAGATCAGTTTTGGGACCCGGGTCCCTTTATAAATTTCAAGATCTGCATTTATTGAACGTTGAATAGTGCACCTTGCAATAGCAAGAAGACTTGCCTTTGACAAGAAGAAATTCCTTCTATTGGCAAATTTTATTTTATTTATTTATTTATTTATTTTTGAAAGGCATACGCCTTAATGAATAATTTATGGTCTCAGTTTAAGTATAATATGGCTATAAAATTAAAGAATTAGTAACAAGTGGAACTATTTGTTATGTTTAATGAAGTTAAAGAATTAGTGACAAAAAGAGGAACCAACTATTTGTTGTGTTTAAGAATCTATCACTGGATATAAATATGTGCCCATAGGTAGAAATGAATTATTGTGTATTTAATAGCAAAAGAGGTTTACTTACGCTTATTAAGGGTATTTACAAGTATTAGGTAATTACCTTCTTCTGGAAATTTTTATTAGACTGATTCAGTATTAACCTAGAGTCAGTTATTTGATTTTGGCTAAAGTCAAATGACTGACTTTAGATTAATACTAAATGACTGATTCTAGGTTAATACTGAATAATTGACTCTAGATTAATACTGGGTTAGTCTAATAAAAATTTTTAAAAAAGAAGTAATTACTTAATATAGGCTGTATTGTTACTTCTGATACATCATATTTTATAAAATAAGTTAAAAAACTTATTAATAATATTAAATCTAATGATTGTTATTTTAAATTATACTTTTAGGATTGTATATACTATAATATTAAGGTTTAAAAATAAATTTATTATATTTTAAT